GGAGAAGGAGGGGCAATCTCCTCCTGTGCCAGTTGGATTCGATTTGACAATTTTTTGTTTTGTTTTGTTTTGTTTTATGTATCTTTTCCAGTCAGTTAGCCAGGGAGTTGTCTTTCAGATTTCTTAACATAACCTGGTGAACATGTGCAGGGCTGCATCTGCTTGTTGAAATATCTCAATTGGCATTCCATAAATTCCTGGGGCCTTCTTTTTTGAGAATTCCTTCAAAGGAAAGCAAGTATTCATCTTTAAAGACTATGTCTGGCCCAAGCCATGGTATATTTAATTACCATACATGGGTGTGTAACTTAGAAAATGGATATGGAAGACTAAAGAACCTTTTTTTCTTTGAATAAAGACTTTTATTCTTCTTTATTCTATGAATAATGAGCTTTTGAACTGTGATGCTGGTGAGGAATAATGACTATACCATGGACTTTCAAAAGAATAAACAAATTTGTCTTGACAGACTTGTAGTTAGAGTGCTCTTTAGCAGCAAGGATGGGAATACTTCATCTCACAGCCTGTGGCATGTTATGAGCAGGAGTTAGTCCCTGGAGAAGGACACGACTCCAGGAAAAGTAGAGGGTCAGCATAAGAAGATCCTCATGACGTGGACTGGCACAGTGACTGCAGCAGCAGGTGTAAGGACCGTGGAGATGGTGAGGACAGTGCAGGACTGGGCAGGACTTCACTCTGTTCTATGTGGGGTCACCAGAACAGCCTTGTCCACAGCAAGTAACAGACAGCAAAGGGAGGTACTAAAAGGATATGAGAGCAGTAGAAATGGAAATCCCCACAGACAATGCACTCCATTTATGAGCCCTACTAAGAGGAGGATAGATGTACTAGTACCAGAAAACAACTTTTTCTCTTTTACACATTAAGACAGTTCAACCAAATACTGGGTTTCTTCAGCAGGTAATCATTTCCCCTAAGACATATGCATTCTTTTACATTCATTAGTAGCTATTACTTCTACTAGAAGCTAGGACTGTGGTTGGGTGCTGTCAAGTCAAAGCATCAGGATCAGATCAACAACCTCCATTACACAGATGATACAATCTTGCTGAAAATGAAGAGGATTTGAAGTGCTTGTTGAAGAAGATCAAAGACACAGTCTTCACTATAGACTCCATCTCAACATCACGACAAAAATCTTCACCACTGGACCGATAGGCAATGTCATCATAGGTGGAGAAAAATTTGAAATTGTCAACTTGATCTTATTTGATCTTACTTACAGAGCTTACCTCTGGCATCAGCAGTCAAGAAATTAAAAGACGCATATGGACCTAAAGCACTTGTTGCAGAAGGTCAAGGACTGTAGTCTTCAATATGGATTGAAGCTCAACATCAAGAAGACAAAGATTCTCATCACTGGACCAGTTGGCAGCACCATGATAGAAGCAGAAAAGATTGAGTTTGATAACAATTACAGCTTTCTCAGCTCTACAATCAACACTCTTGGCACCAGCAGTAAGGAAATCAAAAGATGAATTGTAGTCAGAAAATCTGCTGTCAGGGACTTCTCCAGAGTACTGAAATGCAAAGATGTCAGTCTAGAGACTAAGGTGGACCTAATCCAGGCCATGGTCTTCACAATTACATGCTCTACATTAGAGAGCTGGACAATGACTAAAGATGACAGAAGAAGAAGCAATACCTTCAAGTTGTGGTGCTGGAGAAGAGTCTTGAACATACCATGGACTGCCAAGAAAACAAATAGGTCTGTTCTGGAGAGGATGAAACCAAGGAGGCTAGGATTTTGAATCTGTCTCTCATACTTTGGGCATGTAGCCAGGAGGGACTGCTCCCTGGAGAAGGATATCATGCTCCGAAGGGTGGAGGGACAGCGCAGGAGATGAGATGGTACAGTAACGGGGGTAATGGGGTTTGGTGTCTTGAAATCAGTGAGAACTGGCTCAGGATAGGGCAGGTTTCAGACTGCTGTACATAGTCTCAATGGGTCACAGGTGACTCGAAGTCATATAACAATATTACATTGAGAAAGTCTGCTGTGAGTGACCTTTCCAAAGTACTGAAGAGCAGTATCAGTTTGAATACAAAGATTTGCCTGATTCAGGTCACAGTCTTTTCTTTTTTTTTTTTTTTTTTTAATTTTTGTGTGAGTGTACCGTCAAATCAGATCTGACTGGTACAGGAGGAGATTGCCCCTCCTTTTCCCGGCAGAGCATCTGGTGGATTCCAACCATGTGCCTCTGGGATTATAGTTGCAGCTCCTTGCCACTAGGCCACCAGAGCTCCCCAGGTCACGGTCTTTTCAATCACTTGCTATCTGTCTGCAAGTTGGAGAATCAAAAGGATGGCAGAAGAAAAATGGATGCCTTTGAGTTGTGATGTTGAAGAGTATTAAATATCACATGGACCGCCAAAAGAACAAAAAGATATGTCTTAGAGAAGATGCAGTCAGAGTGCTCTTTAGAGGCAAGGATGGTGAAGCTGTGTCTCACGTACTTGGAAGAGCATGTTGCTGGAAGTGGGTATTCCTTGTAAAGAGACGTCATACCTGGCTAGGTATAAGATTACTGAAAGAGAGGAAGATCCTCATTGAGATTGACTAACACAATGGCTCAGCAATGGGCTCAGTGTATCAGAGAGGATGAGGATGGCACAGGATAGGGCAGGGCTCACCTTCTGTTGTTCATGAGTCGTACTAGACTTGATGACATCTAACCTCAACTATTATCTGCCATTGAAAGAGTTCTGTCTCATGACAACCTGATGTATCAAGTTCATTGTTTTTAAAGGCAGAATTAACTCCTACCTGGCCCTCCAGAGGGTTTTCCGAGGTTGCAAATCGCAAGGCAGGAGACGGCTTATCTTTCTCCTGACAAGAAGCTAGTGTATTTGAACTGCCAGAGAGGTGTCATCTTTGGATTAACAGTGCAATTCCCACAAGCTACCCCACAATTCCCCTTCCCTACCGTATGTATACATATGAAAAAAACATGTGGCCTTGTACTATGCCATGCTCATGTGTATTAGCGTTTATGTGTCTATTCTTACAACTCTTGAAACCTAGGGAATAATCTAGGGAGATCCACTTCCAGCTCTTTATCTGACATTATTCTGCTGTGATCCACAAGCTTTTCATGGACTAACTTGCAGAAATAATCATCATTTTCTTCCACATATACTTTAGTCTGGAAGTTTCACTTAACCAGTACACCACAATTGACAGGAGAGTGTCATCATTTGCACAGTTAACAACCACACTATACACTGTTGCTATGTGCCCTCAAGTTGGAACGGACTCATAGCTGCCCCTCCAGCAGATTTTCAGAGGCTGTAAAATGCACAGGAGAGTGGCCGTCTTCATAGCCCATAGAACAACAGGTAGATTTGAACCTCTTGCCTGATTGGCAGTGCAACTATTTCCCACTAAGCCACTAGAGCTCTCCTCATGGTAGCTTAGAAAAACCAAATTTTATCTTTAGCCAACTTGTGGGTGAATATTTTTTTTAAAATTCTAATAATTTTTTTCTTTTCATTATTTACAAAATTCTAAAACAAATTTGAACAAATTCTTTCAATATCCCTCACCCTACCACCCATCAAATTGTACAACCCAATGATTTCTAATACTTTTTAAATAATTATTTGAGTGAAGGTTCAACTTATTCTTTAAAACAGATTTGTCCTGGAAAGGGTTAAACCGGGTGGCTCCTTGGAGGCAAGGATTCTGAGGCTCCGTCTAACATACTTTGGACATGTTGTGAGGAGAGACTGGTCCTTGGAGAGGGACATCATGCTTGGGAGGGTGGAGGGACAGCGCAGGAGAGGAAGGCCCTCTATGAGGTGGATTGATTCGGTGATTGGGATAATTGGGATGGGAGTGTCAGAGACAGTGCGATTGGCACAGGACAGAGCAGAGTTTAGGGCTGTTGTACATAGGGTCGCTATGAGTCGCAGGCGACTCGACGGCCCATAACAACAACAACGACTTTTAAAAAGCTAAAACAAAAAAATTAATTTTTTATACAATTACAAAGTCAAGTTTAGAATTACTTCATGATAAAACCTTTTTATTTGATTTGATTGTACTGTCACCTTGAAGATGGCTTAACTACTTCAATATGATTATATTCACCTACATTTTGTTTTAGGGCTTTGATAATATTTGAACAGCCCATTTACTTAGAAGTTATTTTCCTAAGTGACTAATCAGCTGTTTCAATTTTCATTCTTGAAAAACCCATTTTTTCAAACTGTATTCCTGGATTTTCTCATCCTCTGGGAATTGTTTTATTACTCTCGTATGATGTTCTTTTGCATGTTCATTTTTCCTCCCTTCAAGGTCATTTTGATGTCTGTATAATAACCAATTACACGTGTGTACTATAATTGACTTCACCAGCCATTCCTCATGTACAACTTTTCATTTTTATACAACTCAAATAGTTTCAAAATGAACTTAATACATGACTTGCTTCTCTGGCCCAAACTGAGAAAATTACCCATTCCAACTTTCCCTTGGATTATTTTAAAACCAACCAATATTTTTGTTTGTTTATTTTGTCACAGTTTAGGGTGTGGTTCTAGGAAGACAGATTTACCTATTTTAGGCTCTAGTAGCTGGCAGTTCTTAAGCGTTCCTGGGATCATAGAGGTTATCTATTGTCTGTCTTCCTCTTTCCCATGTCTGAGCCTTTCGAGCCTTTCTGTCTTTTTAAAATTTAGAAATACCAATACACTTTATCAAGTATAATTGGCAATGAACTCTTTTGCCCGGTATTAACCAGCAAAGACCCAGGAGCGACACCAGGGACGCTCCGATTAGCCACATCCGGGTTCCACCGCAGTTTTAGCCAGGAACAGCCGGAACCCTTCCGTCGTTCCTCTAATCAACTCGTGCGGCCCGGACGATTTACGCCGCCGCGCACGGCTCCGCACTGGTGCTGCTGCTTGCATAGAGCAGCGAGTGTGGCTGTGAGCCTTCTGTCTGCTGCTTCCCTGTTGTGAGTGGAGGAGAGGGCAGGATGGACGTGCTAGCGGAAGAGTTCGGGAACCTAACCTCGGGGGAGTTGGCTGCCCCGATTCCGACAGTGGAGGTGAGCGCCGGGCAAGCGG